AGATTGTTCGTCTTCATAGTGTGCCCCTGTCTATCATTTTTGACCGAGGTACGTAGTTTACCTCGCATTTCTGGAGGGCAGTATAGCGTGAGTTGGGTACGCGAGTTGAGTTGAGCACAGCATTTCATCCTCAGATGGGCGGACAGTTCGAGCGTTAGGATATGCTTCGCGCCTGTGTTATTGAATTTAGAGATTCTTAGGATCAGTTCTTGTTGTTAACAGAGTTTGCCTACAACAACAGCTATCAGTCGAGCATCCATATGGCTCCTTATGAGGCATTATATGGTAGACGGTGTTGATCACCGGTTGGGTGGTTCGATCTGGGGGAGGCCAGGTTGTTGGGTACAGATTTAGTACAGGATGTCTTGGATAAGGTTAAGATTATTCAGGATAGGCTTCGTACAGCTCAGTCCGGGCAAAAGAGTTATGCCGACCGTAAGTTTTGTGATATATCATTCATGGTCAGAGAACGAGTGTTGCCTACGAAGGGCGTGATGAGATTTGGGAAGAAGGGCAAGATAAACCCTAGGTTCATCGAGCCTTTGGAGATCCTTAATCGAGTGGGAGATGTGGCTTCCAGACTTGCGTTGCTGCCAGGGTTATCAGCTGTGAATCCAGTGTTTCATATGTCCATGCTTCGGAAGTATCATGGTGATCCATCCCATGTGTTAGACTTCGGCACTGTTCAGTTGGACAAGGATTTGACCTGTGAGAAGGAGCCGGTAGTTATTCTAGACCGGCAGGTTCGTCAGTTGAGATCGAAGAGTTACCCTTCGATTTGTGTGCAATGGAGAGGTCAGATTGTTGAGGCAGCTATCTGGGAGTCCGAGTCCGATATGAGGAGCAGATATCCCCATCTTTTCACTGACTCACATATTTCTCTATGTCCGTTTGAGGACGGACGGTTGTTTTAAAGGTGGAGAATGTGATGACCAAAAGGGTCATCTTTTGATTTAGAACCCGATTCCATGTTCCGCGGCCTTGAAAACCTCGTTTTATCTCCCCTTTATTTGCGTGTGCAGTCCGGGCGCGTATCCTGAGAGCCCTTATCTGGAAAAAAAACTTAAGAAAAGATGATTTTTAGCTTTAAAAGATGATTTTAGTTGACTTCGGTCAACATTTTGGGTAAATGGATTGGGACACATATTTCGATGGTCCCGGAGGGTCCGTAGTAAAATATGAGACTTGGGCATATGCCCGGATCGAATTTCAAGGTCCCTAGCCCGAGAAATGAATTTTTGAAGAAAATTGATAAGACAGAAAATGTAATAATTTACATGATTTGATCTTGTTGGTATTGGGCCCGTATTTTGGTTTCAGAGCTCGGTACAGGTCCGTTATAATATTTAAACCTTATCTGTGAAATTTGGTGAAAACCGGAAGTGATTTGACAGGATTCAGACCTTTGGTCGAGAAAATAGGAAGTTTGAAACTATGTTGAAGATTTCATGTGTTTTGATGTTGAATTCATATTTCTAGGTGTTATTTTGGCAATTTGATCGCATGAGCAAGTTCGTATGATGTTTTAAGACTTGTGTGCATGTTTGGTTTGGAGCCCCGAGGGCTCGGGTGAGTTTTGGATAGGCTACGGAGTGATTTGAAACTTAAGAAAAATTTCTGGTATGTTGCAGGTCTGTAGACTTTGCATTTGCGAAGTGTGGCTCGCAAATGCGAGCATCGCATTTGCGAAGAAGCTTCGCATTTGCAATCAGTAGGCTGGGAGGGGACCTTCTCATTTGCGAAGCTCATTGTCGCAATTGCGAGTGGAACAGAGGCCACATTTGCGAACACTTGTTCGCATTTGCGATGCCAGTAGGCCAGACCAACTTTCGCATTTGCGAAGTAAAGTCTGCATTTGCGAGTTCGCATTTGCGAGTTCGCATTTGCGAACCTGTGATCGCAAATGCGATACCTGCAACTGTTCAAAACGAGTTTTGGACGGGATTTTTGATTCATTTCTCAAATTTTCAAACCCTAAACTTCAAGAGGCGATTCTCCAAAGACCATTTCTTCCCCAAATCATAGGTAAATGATTCCTAACTTATTTCTTTCAATCCATTTCATCTTTTTACAAGATTTCATCGCAAAATCTAGGGTTTTTCGTGGTGGAATTGGGTATTTTTGGGTAGAATTTAAGAATTTCAAAATTTGAGAATTTAGACCTCAAATTGAGGTCAAATTCCAAAACCAATTGTATATCCGGGCTCGGGGGTGAATAGGTAATCGGATTTTGGTCCAAACTTTGAGTTTTGACCAAGCGGGGGTCAGTTTTTGACTTTATGGAAAAAATGTTGGAAAATCTATAATTATGAATTGGAATTGGTTTCTTTAGTGTTAATTGATGTTAATAAGTTAATTATGAATAGATACGAGCGGATTGGAAGTGAAAACTAAGGGAAAATCGGTATTTGAGGCTTGAGTTTGGTCATGGAATCGAGGTAAGTCTTGTGGCTAACCCTAGCTTGAGGGATTAGGTGTTGTTGCCTTAATTGCTATATGTTTAGTTGTTAAGTACTACATATAGGTGAGGTGGCGAGTATCTATACGTTGTTGTCGAGTCATAGCATGCAAGTGAGTCTTATACTTGTGACTGTTGTTTCTTTATACGCAATGTTCCTGCTTAAACTGGTTATTACTCATGTTAAACAAGTCTTATTATGCTTTCCTAATTTTGGAAATTTGTTGAGTATTGGCTCAAGTTGAGATTTATGTTGTGAAGTTAAATGATAAAGCGAAGTTGTTTAATATGATGCTCTTGTCGGGTTGTTATTATTTCTGTTGTTTTCTTATATGGTGAGGAAGATTGATAAAGCTCGAAGGGTGATGCCTCTACTGTCGTGATTCTTTATTTTGGTACCCCCATCACATGTTGCCCATTCCCGTTAATTTCTGCTTAGTTTCTATTAATTGTTATTCTGTTAGCATATTGTTTAACTGCACAGGTTTATTTTATTTGTCGTGTCCTAGCCTCGTCACTACTTCGCCGAGGTTAGGCTCGGCACTTACCAGTACATGGGGTCGGTTGTACTGATACTACACTCTACACTTTCTGTGCAGATCCCGGTACTGGACCACACTGATCAGAGTTTGGGTTGTTGCCTTCAGTCCACGGGAGACTCAAGGTAGATCTGTCGGCGTTCGCAGACCCTGGAGTCCTCTTCCCTCTATCTTAGTTCCTGTTTCTTTCATTCTGAAAACAGATGTATTTCCTTCAAACTAGTATTTGTTGAAATTCTTAAACGTTCGTGTATTGTGACACTAGATCTTTGGAGTAGCCGTGTATTAGTATTTTAAATTGTTATAAAATTTTCGCACTTCATATTTGTTTAGTTTTAATTATTGTTAATTCCTGTTTTGCTTAATGATGAATGTGTTAGAACTATATCTGTTGGCTTGCGTAGCATTCTCAGAGTTAGGCTCCATCACGATCCCGACGGTGGAAAATCTGGATCGTGACAATTCCGAATAACCTGAAAATAAAAACCGATAATTCACACATCATACAGTGCTGCTCAAGACTTTAGATAGCTGAACGGAACGCAAATGCTCAAAAGACCGGCTGGATCGTTACATCTCCCCTTCTTAAACATATGTTCATCCTCGAACGTGCCAAGAGTCGTTCTAAAGCCATCAAATCACCTTGTAACCTTACCATGCACATACCCGGGGGTGATCCCACGTCACCCCAAGCCATGTAAGCCTGACCACACAACATAACTGAAAATTATTATTTTAACCTTAGTCCATATACCTTGAACTCAATTTTCAACGTCCGAAATTCCTTACAAGAGTCGAACCTCGTATCCACACACTGTATAAGCCTGAACAAGCTATATCAAATCATAACCATAACCCAAGGCGTAATCATATGATATACCACTCAACTCACATAATCGTAGAAAAAATTCTCGATCGCAGTAGCTGCTCAAAACAAACCAATATCCGTAATGAACCTCATCAAATAAAACCTTGTTCAAACGTCCGTACACTGCCGGCGATGAAAGCAACGCGCAGAAACTCATAACCACTCACCAGATCAACAAGTACCACTACATCGCAATGCTATGAACCCATCACACATAGTAGGATCAAGACACCCGAATCTAACACGAAGGATCATGTCCCAACATATTTATCCAACACCGATCCATACGAAATACCTTAAGCCACAATGCTCAAAATCAATAATTACATGCAATTTGACATCAAGTACACGAAGCGCATGACCATAGCTATGGAGAAGTAAATAGCACAATATATCACAACCCAAAAAGACCATAGCCCATGCGCTTTTCCCTCCCTGATAGAAGTAAATATTCATCGTTCATAATGAATGTGTAAACCTCCATTAAGTTCAGCCTATTTTTCATGTTTCGAAATTTTAAGGGGTTCATGTCAAAAGTTCAAATGTGATTATAAATCAAAGTTCAGTTAGTTTTTTATATATTTATATAACCTTTTTTTTAATCGATCTTGTTTTACAAAAACAAAATGGTATTTTTTTTATCGTATAATTTATACGGAGATTGTCTATACAGAAATTTTAAAAGTAACCATTTACAAGGGATTAAACATTGCAAAATCTTGTATCGTGATTATTATTCCTAATACCCAACCCAACTACTTAATGTTTATATCATACAGATTATTGTATCACTAGGAATCTTTTTGCAGTTGCTCAAAAGTTTCATAAATTATTTATTAAGGAAAAAAGCAAGAAAACAAAAGAGTTGATTATTTGGACGTGTATCATGCAACACTTTTTAAATGTTAGTGATACACTTGCTTCCTTTTTTTATTAGCTTCACAAGAAATATATATATTTACAAATTACTTGAGAGAACATAAGAGTTGACTGTTTAACCGTTGTGTTATGCAATACATTAAAAAAATGTATGTTTGCAATAATTCAAGGAATCTAGCTAGAATTTAGGTGCACATATTATTATTATTATTTTTATCCACTTGTATTATTAAAATATCTTCATCGTATTCTGCAGGGAAAAAAGTATTGTTATTGATCATATTCATAAAGCTGAAGTTTCAGCTCCCTTGTGTAGTTTTCAGGTTATGGCACTGATAATAAGATCACTGTTAGATTTCCTAGTTATTTCTTCTATTAGTTTGGTGGTTCTTCAACAGAAAAGCAACGGTGAAGATCAATTACTGATGCTTCAGAAACCACGATTAATGAAATGCAGATTTGATAAAATATTTCAATTGGGTGACTCACTCTCTGATACAGGCAACTGCATAAGAGAAAATCTTTGTGCTCGAGGTTTTCTGTGTGGAAGATTTCCTTATGGAATGAATTTTTTCCAGAATACTACTGGACGTTGTTCTAACGGCATGCTCATGATTGATTTCATAGGTATGTAAGAGACTTCATTGACTGTATCAGGAAAAGCACTAACACTTATAATTAGATCTCCACTACCGCTTGTTTTCTCTTTTGTTTCGGTTATCTGATGTATGTTACTGCTTCTTGTTAGTGTTTTTCTTTCCATGTGGTTTCGCACTGTATTTCTTTTCAACTATGGCCGGACCTATAGTGCATAGACTACGGGTTCTCGGGAACCCAGTAACTCTTGTGTAGACCTGTATTTATATTAAGAAATTTACTAAATATTAGTAAATATCTGTCTGTGAACCCAGTTATTATTGCATATTAATCTGAAATTACGGTAGAAACCCATAAGCCTCGAATACTGGATTCCCCTCTGTCAACTATGATTGTGATTAAGTTTTTCCTAAGCCAAGAGCATATCGGAAACATCTCTCTGCCTCCACAAGGAAGGATAAGGTTTGCGTCTACATTACCCTCTTCAGATCTCACTTGTAAGATTACTCTATGTTTGTTGTTGTTGTAAGAGACTTTATTGTCTTTTCATGTTAATTTGTGTTTTTGGATTAAACTAAAATAAATTTTCATAATAAATAAAATTAGTTACCTGAAAAATAAATAAAGCAGGCAACCGTTATAACAAATTAAATTATTATCCCATTAATTAGATATCCTGTCAGCGTATAAGTTAACTTGTTTGTTGTAGTAGGCTAATTATCATTTTAACCAGTTTACTAGTTAATAGCTTAATATTTATTATAAAAATATTTTGTAATTATTTTATAAGTGATCTAATTGCGTAAAAAAAATTACAGTTCAGTACAGAAAGATATCCCTGTAATTACCTAAATAATCTAATAATTTGTATGCTTTTTCTTATAGCACTGGAATCTGGTTTACCTCTCCTAAATCCCTACAAGCTTCAAAATGCAAATTTTAAACATGGTGCGAACTTTGCAGTAGCAGGAGCTACTGCTTTATCGACTGAAAATCTGGCAGAGGAAAAGATTGTTAATTCAGTAACCAATAGTTCATTGAGTGTACAACTTGATTGGATGTCTACTCATTTCAAAAGCAGCTACCCCACTGGTAATTTATTTAATTAATTTGCTAAATACTTAATTCAAAGAGATGCTATCCTTTGGTATCTTCCAATCGACAAGTTGCACTAACTATCATGTATAATTTTCTTTTTCCTTTCCTAGATCGCCTATCAAAATTGAAGAAATCTCTTTTCCTAGTTGGAGAAATAGGAGGAAATGAATTTAATTATGGCTTATTCAAAGGTAAAACGCTAAAAGAGCTCCGAAGCATGGTGCCAAAAGTTGTTCAGACCATCATTCAAGGTGTTAGAGTAAGTTTTACTTTTTACCTTTAATTATATTTGTCATTGGACGAGGGGAGTGGGAATTAAGCTGGGGACATGGTTGCCCTTTGAAATATCTTTGAGGTTAATAGTTTATATAACCCAAATAGTAGTCTAGGTAACCACTTACACTAAAAATAGTCGATGAATATATAATATATATGTAAAGTAAACAATGAATACAACATCTTATTTATGTAAAAAATCCCAAAGGTTTATGCTTGTTAGTAATTATAATATTGTAGTTTATCCCCTCTCCTTCTTTTAGTAGTATCTTATTTCAGTTTATTTTTGTTTTAAATAATCAATATAAAAAATTTACATTAATCCGAATCCAACCCAATGAAAGCCCGATATGAGGGGGATTAGGGGTGAAATTAAAAAATAGCCAGATTTACAATTGGTCGTTCAAAAATAGTCCAGTTTCAAAAGTAATCGAAATTTAGCCATTTTTCATGTAAAGATAAATATGAGCGAAAACACTGTTCAAAACCCGAAAAATACGCCAGTATATTATGCTGGAGTTCCAGCATAAGTATACTTGAACTCCATCATATTATACTAGAGTTCCAAGATAAGATGCTAGAACTCCAGCATAATATTATGGAGTTCCATCATAAGTACACTAGAACTCTTCCAGCAAAGTATATCGGTCTAGCATAATATACTGGAGTTCATACACAGGTGCACCGAACTCCAATATATTTTGCTGGATCGGTTTCTGCTGCAGCAAAGTAATGGCTATTTTCATTGACTTTATAAACGTTGGCTATTTTTGAATGACCAGTCCGAAAACTGGCTATGCCGTGCTATTTTTACGAAGATTAGCGTTTCCAATTGAACAAGACTCAATTTCCAAGATTTGAATTCTAAATCTCTTATTAAGAGATGATCATAAACCTTTATCATTCCACTATATCCTTTGATTGAAAAGAGGAAAAAGGAAAAAAGTGACAATATTTCTGTGATATTAGTGTTTCAAAAGAAAGCAATAATAGATGACACGTTTTAAAACAAAATTCCAAAAATTAATGAAGCAAACTAAGTATTGATTATGATACGCGTTTATTATTATTATTTTTTTCTTAGCTTGATTACCTTTCTTTGGTTGAAATTTATTTCTTTTAGACAGTCATTAGTTTTGGGGCTACTCGAATTATTGTTCCAGGCAACTTCCCAATTGGTTGTCTCCCAATTTTCCTAACGCAATTCAGGACCAGCGATTCAACTGCATACGATGAGTACCATTGCCTGCAAGATTTAAATGATTTAGCAATCTTCTTCAATGATCATTTGAAACAAGCTATTCAAGAGCTAAAAGAAGAGCATTCAAACATTGCACTCGTTTATGGTGACTACTACAATGCCTATATGTGGTTTCTACAAAATGCCATGTTTCTTGGTAAGTGCTTAAAAATATTTAATATTCCTTATTTTTAATCGTAAGGTTCTTTCATTTTTCTTTTTCTTTTTTTCTTGTCCGGTAAAATTTTCAGTTTCATAAATTAATTTTTCCACTAGTGTTTTTAATTCCTTTTCCTCTAAATGCACTTATTTACCAAAAAATATATTATGACAAATTTTCAAGGTAGATAATGTATATTTATCGAAAAGTATATGCATTTACAAACTTTTTTGATTGAAATATATTGCAGGATTTGACAAAAACTCTTTACTGAAAGCTTGTTGTGGAATAGGAGGAGATTATAATTATGACGTACATAATCAATGTGGAGCTATAGGAGTTTCAGTGTGCACTGACCCGAGTACTTACATCAGTTGGGATGGAGTTCATTTAACAGAAAAAACATATAGTTGGTTGGCAAGATGGCTAATTGATGACATGTTACCCAAATTGAACTGTCATGTTTAGGTTCAAACTCTTTAACTTTTTGCCAAAGTACACATAATAAATCTTTCGTTAAATCTAGTCAAATATTCCGAGTTGTTTTAATTGATAAATTTACCTTCAATTTTTTATAGAATTATTTCGTCTCAAAGCCAATAAGGAATTGATTATGAAAAAGTGTTATCATAGGCGGATCCAGGATTTGGAGCTTTTGAGTATCACGTAGCTTTAAACGTCAATTTGTCGCTATTGATATATCGAGATAGAGCAAATATTTTATCGGTTTGAACAACTTTAGACTTCCTTTGGGTTACTTATCTTTTTTATATATATATCGATTGAACGGAAAAGTATAGTACTTTAGTTATGATAGAGGGAAGATTTTTAAAAGAAAATGTCATTTTAACTTTGGGTGAAAAAAGCAAATACTTAACTAATAAGAGACACAAAAGGAAAGCCAGGCAAAAGGTTCAAAAGCTATTGGGGTTTGATCCTTCACAACCAAGGTGGAATCGCATGCCCTTTGCCACTGGCAAAAACAATAAGCTTGTGGGTGATGTAGTCTCCCAAGTCTTACTAGATCCGCCCCTGCTCATCTTTTAGAACAGAGTGTACTTTTCATGCTTTGGTGTTTTGGTGTTTCTTAATATTAATTAAGGGTTAATTTCACGGATGGTTATCTAACTTATTATTTATTTCACAAAAGTCACTTATTCATTTTTCGTCACTTATATTATCACTCAATTTTATCTTTGTAACTTAAAAGTCATTATGATTCAAAACCTATAAAAATATCCTATAAAAGATATGGCATTAAATTTAATAAATTTCTTAATTATAATGCTACATAAGTTTAGAAGGATCATACCCAATTTAGACATATTTTATGCGCAATTCGATTTAACCCATAACCCAAATGAGTTATTAATATTTTGATCATTAGAAGGAGAAGACGAACAATAAAATTTATTACGTAATAACCTTAATGCCACCTAAAATTTCATAAAAAGTATGAACCGAACTAGCAAAGAACTAGGTTTTGCATCGTTGAATCATTTTATAAAATACTACCATATTCATCTCACATAATATATAAATGTGCCACTAACAGACAAGAACAATAAGTTAATAAGAACCTATTTTCACAAATTACTTTTCCATTTAAGTCAAACTGCTGCTTATTACACAATACCAACCGACAAAAATATTGCTCAGTGAGAAACACCCACAATTAAATTGCATAGTGGAAGTTATCCACACACACTGCAATCATAACAGCCTATAGCAATAGTTTGGACAAAAGAAAGAGACAACATATTGTGTCTCTGCAAATCAAACACAAAATCAGATAGTCAAAATATGAATAACCCATTTTGGTTATAGGTCAAACCGGGTTGAAGAAATAGGTTTAACATAGATATGGTCTATTTAAGCTCATATGACATTATTATTAAATTTAATGCCATCTCATAAATTTTGGTGGATTTTTTTAGGTTTTGAACTAGAATAACTTTTAAGTTATAAAGGTAAAATAGAGTGACTTTTAAGTAATAAAAAATAGATAAGTGACTTTTGTGAAATACAGAATTAGTTGGATGACCTTCAGTGAAATTAACTTTATTAATTAAGGGCTTCATATCCAAAGTTCATACGTGCCTAAAAATCACAATTCAGTTTCTTTTTTTTTTTTTTAAAACATTTTGCCCGTGATCTATTTACCTTATAGATATCAAGTAGTAAATATAACTCAACCTGGAGGGACTATTTCGACGTTAATTTTATAGATGGTCATACAATTTTCATTTTATTGCACTGAAGTTATTAAACTATTTTTTATAACTAAAAACTTACTCAACATTACCAAGGTATTACCAAAATCATTTAACATTTTTTATAACCAAACTTTCACAAAACTAGTTTTTTTTTTTAAAAAAAAAAAAAATCACTCCTTGCATGCAAAATTTTCCAATTAGTACAATGTTTTTAAAAAAATTACGAGGGAACAGTATAGAGAGTTCGTTCTTGAATCTCGACGTGATGGTGTACAAAGTTGTGAGATGTAAAGTCAACAGTATCAATCAATTAAAAGAGCTAGCCGAGATTGTACAGATTATTGTATCTCTAGGAAATCTTTTCGTAGTTCAAGAAAAGAAGTCATTAATTATTTATAGGAGTAAGAAAAAAGGGAAGAAAGCTAAAGAGGTCTGTTGATCGTTTACTACGCAATACTTTTTAATGATAGTGTATTATTCAAGGAAATCTATCTTTAATTTAGGTACACCAATTATTAATTACTATTATTATTCTACTGTATTATAATTATTAAAATATTTTCATCGTTAGCTTTTTGCAAGAAAAAATTAACTACTCCAATAAACTGTTAATCGAGATTGCATATGTTTATAACGCTGAAGTTTCAGTTAGTTCCGGATTTCATTTTGAAAAAATCGGGGCATGGCATTGACAGTAAGAGTAGTGCATGATCTCCTAGTTATTTCTTTCATGTTCAGTTTCATTGTTCTTCAACAGAAAAGCAGTGCTCAATCACTACGAACGCTTCAAAATCCACGATTGACGAAATGCGGATTTGATAAAATATATCAGTTGGGTGATTCACTTGCTGATACAGGCAACTGCATTAGAGAGAGCATTTGTGGAGCTCGTACTGCATGTGCAAGACTTCCTTATGGAATGAATTTTTTCCAGAAAAAAACAACTGGACGTTGTTCTAATGGCATGCTCATTATTGATTTCATAGGTATGTATGTATAAAACTTTATTATCTTACAGTATTTGTGTGTCCCTGATTTAATTAGAGAATTTAATGGAAGAAAAAAGAGGTTAATTTGTTGTTTGGCTGGTATAGTCCTTAGTCACGTTTCTATATTTAGGTACAAATTACTAACTTAAATGGGAATGAGATTGATTGTGATATATATGTATTCTTTTGCTTTTGACAGCTTTGGGATCTGGTTTACCTCTCCTAAATCCGTACAAGCTTAAAAGTGCAAATTTTAGACATGGTGTGAATTTTGCAGTAGCAGGAGCTACTGCTTTATCAGCTGAAGTCATGGCTAAGAAGAAGATTGTTAATGCAGCCACCAATAGCTCATTAAGTGTGCAGCTTGCTTGGATGTCTTCTCATTTTAAAACATACACAGGTGGTAATTAATTTGCTCAAGAGAAATCTGTTTTTTTTGCCCAATAATAATAGTAGACAAAATATTGCTTCTATATGTGTATTATATACAAAAATAATACATATTTTATATAAATATTACTTCTATATGTGTATTATATACAAAAATAATACATATTTTATACGCTTTTTATATGCGAATACAATTAATTTCAGTCGACCGGTCAATTTTGTATTTTGCCTCGCTGAAGAGAAACTTCCAAGGAAACGGTGTTGCATGTTTACTTGCTTGGTCTCTCCCTATAAACTAATTAACGGCAAGCAAGTTTAAATGATCTTTTTCCTACCCGTGGAATTTTGCTGGATATGTTGTTATTGTTGTTGAGTTTAAATGATCTTTTTCTTGTTCTTGGTAGATGTTGCAACAAAATTAAAGAAGGCTCTTTTCTTAGTTGGAGAAGTAGGAGGAAATGATTTCAACCATGGGTTATTGCAAGGTAAAACGATGAAAGAGTTGCGAAATATGGTGCCAGAAGTTGTTCAAACCATTATTCATGGTGTTAGAGTGAGTTTATTTTGCTGTTACATACCTCTTTTCTTTCAGTTGGTTGAAGTTTGTTTTCTAATGATCAGTTGCTTCTTTTCAGAGGGTCATTGGTTTTGGGGCTACTCGAATTGCAGTTCCTGGCAATTTTCCAATTGGTTGTTTACCAATTTACCTAACGAAATTCAGGACAAAGAACTCAACTGCCTACGACGAGCACCATTGCTTGAAAGATCTAAATAATTTTGCAGTATTCTACAATCATCATTTGCAACAAGCCATTCAAGATTTGAAGAAAAGGTATCCAAAAATTACACTGATTTATGGTGACTACTACAATGCCTATCTCTGGCTTCTACACAATGCCGTCAGTCTTGGTAAGGGCTCAAAAAATTGGTTTTCCTATTTTTAATCATAACTTCTTCTTTTTTTTGTTTTTCAATTTCTTCCTCTGCAGCCAATTTTTAAAATGCACTTATTTATCAAAAAGTGTATTAAAAAAAAAAATTCAAACCACATATGTATGTAAAATTATTGAAACGTATATGCATCTAAAAACTTTCTTAATTAAAATACACTGCAGGATTTGACAAAAGCTCCTTACAAAAAGCTTGTTGTGGAATGGGAGGAGACTATAATTTTAACATACGTAAACTATGTGGATCTCCAGGAGTGCCAATCTGTGCTGACCCTAGTACCTACATCGGTTGGGACGGAATTCATTTGACACATCAAGCATACAAATGGTTGGCGAGATGGCTAATTAATGACATGTTACCCAAATTGAACTGCCAATAAGTTTAAGTTCTAAGTTCTAAATTTCTTGCCAAGGTGCAACAATAAATCTTTCTTTTAATCTAATTTTCCAATGGAATTGTTTAAGCGATAGATTTACCTTCAACGTTTTATACATTAAGCCAATAAGGAATTGCTTCTTTTTATTCTAAAACACACAATTTAGAAACTAATAAATGCAAAGCTTTTCCTCTGCTGAAGTCCCTGTTTTATTAGATACTAGCGAATTAATTTAACATCATGCATGAAAACTAGCTTATCCCAATGTTCATGATCATAACGTATCTAATTTGCCGTGTAGATGTTTTAAAATTAAACTATGCTAAAAAATGAACCTAACCTGCTCACGAGGAATAAGCCTCCTCCTTTCAACTTGTGGAAGGGAACGCAATGTTCGTCTTGGTTCGTCCATCCATGCCTTCGTTCTCAAAGACCCACAATTTGTTTACTTAGGAAATCAGTTTAATACCCGGAATGCGCTTGTAGTATGGAACTCTCTTCTGACAATGTATGCTAGATGTGGTAGGACATATGATGCTGCCCAAGTGTTTGACGAAATGCCCATGAAAGATACGGTTTCATGGAACTCACTTGTTTCAGGATTTATAAATAATGGGAATTTTAAAATGGGATTTGGGTACTTCAAAGAAATGATGGGTTCTGGTTGTTTTGAGTTTGATCATGCCAGTTTAACTACAATTTTATCAGCTTGTGATGGGCTTGATTTTCTTGGTCTTAACAAGATGATGCATGGGTTGGTTGTTTTGAGCGGCATGGAGAGGGAAATATCTGTTAGTAATGCATTGATTACTTCTTATTTTCGATGCGGATGTGCTAATTTGGGCAGACAGGTTTTTGATGAGATGGGTGTGAGGAATGTTATCTCTTGGACAGCTGTGATTTCTGGTCTTGCTCAAAATGAATTTTGTGAGGAAAGCTTGGATTTGTTTGTGAAGATGCAAGGTGCTGTCGTTGTGCCTAATTATTTGACATACTTAAGTGCACTGTTGGCGTGTTCTGGCATCAAGGCACTCGTGGAGGCTCGTCAAATTCATGGGATTGTTTTGAAGTTGGGGTTTCATTCAGATTTGTATATAGAGAGTGCATTGATGGATGTGTATTCCAAGTGTGGCAGTGTACAAGATGCTTGGCAGATGTTTGAGTCCGCAGAGGTTCTTGACACAATTGCTATGACAGTTATGCTTGTGGGGTTTGCCCAAAATGGATATGAAGAAGAGGCACTGCAGATTTTTGTGAAAATGGTCAAATCAGGGGTTGACATTGACCCTGATGTAGTGTCAGCCGTTCTTGGTGTCTTTGGTAGCGATACTTCTTTGGGTCTTGGTAAGCAAGTGCACTCATTAATCATCAAGAAAGGTTTCATTTCAAATTCGTTTGTAAGTAATGGGCTCATTAACATGTATTCCAAGTGCGGTCAACTGGAGGAATCTGTTGAAATCTTTAATAGTATAGCTCGAAGAAATTCAGTCTCTTGGAATTCCATAATTGCAGCCTATGCTCGTCATGGGAATGGCTATAGGGCACTCCAGTTATATGAAGAGATGAGGTCAGATGGTGTAGATCCAACTGATGTTACATTCATCTCTCTGCTTCATGCTTGTAGTCATGTAGGGCTAGTAAACAAGGGTATGGAATTCTTTGAATCTATGCAGAATATCTATGGGATGACTCCTAGAATGGAGCATTATGCGGCTGTAGTTGACTTGCTTGGTCGAGCTGGACTGCTAAGTGAAGCCAAGAGTTTCATTGAGGGGATACCAGTAAAGCCAGACATACTTATTTGGCAGGCATTGCTTGGTGCCTGTAGTATTCATGGTGATGCTGAGATGGGAAAATATGCAGCTGATCAATGGGTCTTGGTTTCACCTGATAATCCTGTGCCATATGTTCTACTGGCAAACATATATTCTTCCAGGGGGCGATGGAAAGATAGAGCTAGAACTATCAGGAAAATGAAGGAAATGGGAGTGGCAAAGGAGACAGGGACAAGCTGGATAGAGATTGAGAAGGAAGTCCATAGTTTCGTAGTTGCGGATCAAATGCATCCCAGAGCCATGATCATTTATTCCACCTTGGTGGAATTGTTTAGACACATGAGAGATGAAGGGTATGTACCAGATAATAGGTTCATTCTACATTGCATGGATAGTGATGAGAAGGAATTTTTAATCGATTTTCAAGATACCTCTGAACTTTTGTGCAGCCTGTGGTAGTCATTTGTGAACTGGTGGCTGACCAATGCAATGTATTATATGTGTATTATGATTGACTGTTGCAAATTGCAGCCACGAATATGTTTTATTCTATATTATGAGATGGGGAAATACTGTTTGAGAATTGGTAATTGTATTGATAAATAGCAGCAACCACCAAAAAGGTGCAAGCAAAACCATTTACAGATCAAAAGCAAAAGTATGTTCCTTCTCTTCTTAGAGGGATCTTATCAGATGTATCAGTTCCTCTGGTTCACTAAATTTTCTATTTTCTGTGAATAGGGGAAATACTTCCTTTGGGCTGACATGCCAAAATCCGTCATGTGAGGAATAGGGAAGACTCAACTGGACAGTAATATCATGACTCACGATACTATTATAGACTCTTATGAAAAATAAAAAATAAAAATTATGGACACTTGGCACTAATCTGTTCCTTTTGGACTTAATCAAATTAATTTGATAAAAGGATCAAATCAAGTTGTCTGGTTTATGAAAAGTGAACTGTTATGCTGCTATTTGGGAAGAGTCACTTTCTTCTTTAAACAAAAAAAAAAAAAAGTTGTTGATAGGCATGATTCGGTCAACAAACATTTTGCTTCATCCTGGATCAGTCTTGATAGTATTATATCAAGGGTCCTATGAAGTTTACATGCATGTATAGCAAAACAGTTCCTTCAAATTCACCATGATAACTCTGATCATGAAAACTGAATGCACTCGTTTAATCTGTACTCTGGTAATCCATTCTAGAAGACATCCAGATGTGTTCATATATGAGGGAGTGCATTGCGAAAGGCTCCTGGTGTTGACTGTACACTGATTTAGTTGAATACTCAGCATTATGCCTCTCAGTTAAAAGGTGATGGCACGGTCTATCTTGAAATGACTTTCATGAAGCGGTTTATAGAAGAGAAGATTCCAGCTGCTTGATCCAACAGTGAGCGACCGTTCTCTTCCTTCTCATCCACACCTCCGAATATTATCTGAGAAAGATCAGCACGAAGTATCAGATAGAGAGAGAGAGATCATAGTTTTTCTATGGGAAACTTATAAACAGTTAAATTACAAAAGGTAAGGATTACAATGCTACAGGAGCCAACAACGAAAGACTTACCAGTTGCATATTTCTTACACTGAACTATAGACTTCTAGAGAATGTATAACTACTATAAGAAGAATTAACCCAAATAGCCGTCCACCTAATCTCTTAAACTAAAAATAGTCGGCGGATGCATAATAAATATATACTTATATTATACTTATATATACACATACATATATATATATATATATATATATATATATATATATACTAGCTTTCGTGTACGTGTGTAGCACGTGTGCTTAGCGTCAATCAATGAAATATGAGTATACGAAGAACATGTAAATCAATTTATCAAATGCTTAGTTTTAAAATGTCTACATTAAGTTAATATTTTAAAATAAGTAACTTTGTACCTAGAAAAGTATAGGGAGTTGCCATTTATTTAAATGAATACCAAAAGAAAGAAAATTAACTAATGGCAACTCACTTAAAATGTATTTTGTCTTATAATATTTTATCCTTATTATTTTAACTTTTGCATTTTTAATAGTTTGACTCTTACTTCTAAATTATAATCGATTTTATTATAAGTTTTAAAAAGAATCACTTGGATTTTTTCGCAAATTAGTTAAAGCAAAGATTTTTTTGGTTAATTAGGACTGATCTTAACGTTAAAGAGAATTTTTTTGTTGTTGATTGAAATATTTGTATTAGCTCATTCAAAGTTTAAATATTTAACTGTAATTATAATTTTTATCCAATAAGAATTCTACATTTAGTGTAATAAAAAATTGCTATGACATCACTTTTGGACTTTTATGTTAGTACAACCATTAGTGTTTGAATATTACCAACAATTTTTCTTTTATTTTCTTAAAATTAAAATATTTTCTTATTTAAGCTTGGTACTTCAATTTTGGAAAAATGGGGATTGATTGAGATTACTACGTTTGTGATTGCTAAATATTCATTCTTACTCCCAAGTATAATAACAAAAGTTTAGTTGATATATATTAAAATTATAAATATGAGAAAAATAATTCAATGAGCATTTTATTATTTAAAAGAAATACTCGTAAATCTTGAAAAAGTACTCCTAAAACTGGGGAAAAAAAGATGAAAATAAGGACACATACACCAAGAAATAATCGCCTAAATTTTTATAACAAAAAAATACTCGTAAGCCCAATATAAAAAAATACTCGTGAAATGCTTGGAATTCAATACATTAAATCTAAATAGAGATTATATGAAGGACTCCAATCACATAACATAATTTTTTAGATCAAAGTCCTAAGAGTTAGGAAAATAATTAAGCAATTATTCATAAATATTAGGAAAATAATTAAATGGTGATTTGTACAATTTAGAAAAATAACTTAAATTATTATTTTGTGCAACATGAAAGCTATTATTAGAGGGTAAAAATACGAACCATTGTGCGGTGAACACTATCTAGGTGAGTATGAACTATTAAAATATTACATAAATATTCTATTAAAAATTATGTTTGAGTGATGAAATAAATATTGTAGAAAAAATATAAGTTCTTGACAATAGTAGTTGTTGAACCTATCTAGTTAACACAATAAGCAAAAAAAACTATACCCCATATAAGCCCTCAATCATGTCGGTCAATATATTCAACTTATAAATTTTATAATATTATTACATTAATTTCACAAGTTATCATTCTTCATTTTTAGTTTTAGCAAGAATACATTAATCCTTGAACATTTAAGTTATTACGTAAAAGTTATTTAAAAATTTATATATTCTTAAGTTCATTATAAAAAACACAAATAATTTAACTAACTAACAAAATATGCATTTTTTCTCGCAAATACAAATTGTGCTATATACTTTAATTAATAAGAAAAAATATAGTAATTATTTTCAACAAATTAGTAAAGAACCTAGTGTCTATGATTGTAATAAAATTATATGCAATTCACGGGTTCTAAAAAGACTACGCTAATACTATTCTAGAAGCAGTAAAAATATAAAATACATGTTAAAATTAAAATTAGGTTTAGTTCTACACGTTAGATAAATATTTTAAACGTAGATATACTTTTTGAAGGAAAAATTAGTTTTTCAAAGGGTATAAAAGTTGGTATATAGACCAATTTTCACTATGTGACAGTTAACTCTATATAACTCTCTCTATAAAATATTAGGTTATTAGGTATTTTAAATACTTATATTTATTATTATGTTAATTTTCTCGAACATGAACAATTATTTTTTTCCTTTGAGAATATTTATTTTTTAAATTCAAAACATGACAACTAACCAAAATGTTAGATTTCAAAATAATTCTTCCATCTAACACTAACTAATTTTTTCAAATCCAAAACCTTCATTGTTTTCCGATAAATACAATATTTGGCTTGTTCTTTTATTTTAAGCTTCATAATTTATTAAAAATGTTTTGGTTCATTTGTATCTAGAGAAAGAAACATACTCATAATTACAAAGTTAATTTTGTATAAATGTTCTTCGTGTGGAATTCGGATTATTTAATCTATAAAGAAGAATCATACTTAAACGCTAGTACTTATTTTATTCAATACAAACAAGGAAAGAATTTACATAAATAAAAGCTTGCTTGATTTAAATTCTTAAATATTAGGACTTCCTAAATAGTTCAAATAAGGAAATATTTTATAATTAAAATTTTAGTTGATTTCAAAGTCCTATATAGTAGGAAAATAAAAAGTCCTAACTATTAGGAAAATTATTAAATTAATATTTCGTCTAGTGTGAAATCNTCTTGTATGTATATATGTATGTATAATATAAGTATAATTGTGTATAATCAATGTATAGTCTATGTATACCGGCTACAAAAAGTATAACATTGAATCTGGCCGGCTATTTGTGTAACAAGCCCTTCATTACAGCCTAACTTAAATACATAGAAGTAGAGGAGCAACAGACCTCCAGATCTTCTGTAGTTGGACGGCTGATCTGTTCCTTGGCAAGAAGATATCTGTTTGGTCGGTCCTTATCATCATAAAACACTTTCCACAATCTGGAGTAAACCAGAAAATAAGTAAATAAGCATGTAACTTGAGACTAGTCCTTTAAGCCATGTTTTTTTGACAAGGGACCAGTCCTTTAAGCCATGTAGTGTAATGATTTAGGTAGGTGAATCCTTACCCGGGATAACATCTAAATACAGCACCAGATGCTAGAGGTCTCATCGAGTACGCAACAGTGAAGGTGCTGCAGCGAAAAATATACATTGTTGCTGTCAGAATATGGTAAAGTTATATACAGTGGCAAGTTCACATTGACAAGAAAAGATGGAAAATACATCCCCAAGCAAAGATGGTGTAAGGTTGAGTATAAAACAAGAAGTTCCGTTGAAGAAGAGAACCACTAATCAACGACAAATCATATGGGAAGCAATTTTTATTAGAAACTTAGAAGTTGCTCAACGGCATGAAGATGAATGGTGGTTGTACAATCATTAACTTGTGCAGTCAGTGGTTACCGTGAGGAACCACATTGTTTGCATTAGTAGATCATATTCAACCCGAGGATAATGAAGGTGGGGCATAACAATTGCTTGCTCATGCATGAGAGTTTAAAACTACATATGATAGAAACATTTGGTCAACACACTAGAGATCAGCTAAATATAATAGTAGAGCCAAATCATAAAGAGCCCTATCTGTGCTGAATGACATAAATAAATCTTATAGGACGACTGAGCTGTAACACACAATACCTAACTGAATTTCAGAACTGAAGCAAAACTTTCCTATCATAAACCAAAGTTACCTTAAAAAATTGCGCCGCAGCCTACGTACATTGATCCCCACTCCGACATCCTCACTAATCAGACGAGGGTTCCACATGATAAGAGGCCTAGGCTAACAAAATAACCACAGACTATTAACAAAAAACAGAAAATAACGTTGAAGAATAACACAGGTTCAATTTAAGCATGTGAGAATCAAGAAAAACAGACGCTAGCATGCAATCAAATAGCCTGCGACTTGTATTCCTCTAGACTAGATGCTACTACTATCGGTAGTGGGAATAGGTTTGTTTTGAAAAGCTTGAAGAGCAAAAGCTTATATAAAGTTCCATTCCTCACATTTTTGAGAACTTGTGTAGTCGTAGCTCCTATTATTAAAACCAGATATTTGTAGGATCTATTTTTGTAATGAGGAAGAAGATCAAGGAGAACGTATAAATTAGTGATAAAGAATAACGCCTCATTTTAAGGCCACGTTTTACGCAACCAGTTATCACTAGTTTCAAAAAGTAATGTATTGTCTTCTCCATTGTGGCAGACAAGAATAAAGCTAGTAGTGTACTATAATGACTTTTAGATAAACAATTAGTGATGACTTTTAGATCAAGTACTTTGAGGTTAAGTTGTCACTTTAACTGTTCATACGAAGAGACAGAGAGAAGGAGAGATAGTAGTTGTTGAATAAACAAGAGACACAAGTATAAAGCCAAAATCATAAGGGTACCGGGTCATCTGAGAGAT